AAATAATTATGAATACACTGCACACAATTCTGTATTTTGCTATTTCATGACATATTTTATTCCAAGATTTACATATCCTTTCAAAATATGTTAATGGTTGTAAAATAATCACTAGATAGTAAAACAATAAAAAAACTCTATTATGTACCTACTTTGCACATTTAATAGCTATTCAATATTATATTTTATGTATACTTCAATGAAAATATACATATTTCCAAATATCTTATAATAATGGATTAATTTTATTAATCTCTTTATTCTGTGGTGCACCAAATTGAACCGAGGGCCCCACTTTATTTAAATATAAGCTTGCTGAATGTTTATAAAAGTATTGAAATTTTGTGACAAGTAAAGGGAAAACAGTTAAGATTTAGAAGTCTGCCCTAGGGCCGAGAAAAGATTAACTGGAGTTTTAAGAAGTGATAAGGCTGTCCGAGTCTTAACCAAACCCCATGTATAATGAAACCAATTTTTTCAAGGCAACCAAACGGACTGATAAACAAAACTTTTATCATTATAAGGTATTTAAAACAAATCCAAAATAACAATTTACATTCAATTAATTGTTAGCAATACCTTTTCAAATGGGACTGGAGCGTTAGCACAGCAGGTGGGGGCATTTGCCTTGCACATGGCCAACCCAGGTTCGCTTCCTCTGTCCCTCTTAGAGAGCCCAGCAAGCTATTGAGAGTATCACTCCTGCATGGCAGAGCCTGGCAAGCTCCCCGTGGCATATTTGATATGCCAAAAACAGTAACAGCAAGTCTCACAGTGAAGACGTTACTAGTGCCAGCTCGAGCAAATTGATGAACAATGGGAGGACAGTGCTACAGTGCTACCTTTTCAAATGAAATAATAGTCAATTTTAATTTCTGCCTCAATAGTTTTTTTTCAATTTATTCTTATTATTGAAATTCAATTTTAGTCTAGTTGATTATTATAAAGTTAAATTTTGTTGTTAATACCTAATATAATATTTTATAAATTTATTTTTAGAATGATTCAAATGTATTGATTTCTGTCAAATAAAAATAAAACAAAAGAAATACATTTAGAAACTGGGTCTCAAGCTAATTTTAAAATTCTATCTTAGGAATTGGATTTACTTTGATTATAATCAATTTAGAAATTTTTATATGGCAGAGACTAACTCAAGAACTGAGCTAGCAGGATAAAAAGAAGATAGTCACTGATTTAAAATATATGCTTCAATGTTTTAGGCAGTGAAACTTTGGATTTCCAGATTCAAGAAGAAATTCCCACTAGATTTAAAAAATGTGGAAAAAGCTGAAAGACAAGAAAACTTTGGGGCCAATGGGCAATAGCAAGTACCTCACTGTGCTTGAAATATAATGTAAAGTAGAATAGAAAGAAAAAGATTAAGCATGAATCAGAGAGATTTGGTACAAAGGTAGTGGTTTTCAAATAAGTCACTTAGCAAAAAGATTCTTGTGATAATTTCGAAAAACACATTAGTGGTTTCTATCTTGATCTTAGAAAATTATTTCTAATAGGTGATTAGTGAAAGACTGGAGACCTTTGTAACAAAACTGTTAAAAGCATTTTTAAAAAGATTATCAGGAAAATCACTGAAACATAATTACCGGATAAACTTAGAGGGAAAAGGAAATAGGAAATTAGTAAAAAATGAAGCAAGTCAAAACCCAGCTACCGGGAAACAACCATTGGTATACAAATGAAGATATTACACATTATTTTTGGGATCTGAATGCAGTGCTCAGGCGCTACAATTTCCTCTTCTGTGCTCAAGTGTGACTCCTGGTGTGCTGGGGATTGAGTGGATTTTGCATGGAAAACATGTAAGATAGCACATCAAGCTATATCCAGTTCACAAGATAACACATTGTACTGACATTGTTTTAAAGATGCTTTGTTCATTTTTAACCAGAATTATGCCACTAAACACATGTGTATACACTTGTCCTTTAGTTACTATGTAATATATATAATTATATAGCTTTACCTGGAGAAATGAAAACATCATTTAGGATATTAGCATTAATAACACTAATATCATAAACAATAACATTTTAAAAAGCAACAACTGAGTGTAAGTTTTATATTTAAACAACTATTAAAATAACGTTATACTTTTGAAACTTTTTTTAATTTTTCAAGCCTTAGTTCTCTGGGATCAACTATTTTAATTGTATACGCTACCATATAGAAACATAGGAAGTATCTAACACAAAACCTAACATAAAACACATCAAATTAATGTTAGGTCCTTATTAGGTCCATTGATAGTCATGGGTATGTGGGGAGATTATTATTTTTTTAAAGATTGATCTGCAGGCTTCAAGATGACATAACTAAGAAGAAGATGCTATAAAAATGGAGATTTCAAGGATAGGATCAGATTTGGGGGACGGCGGTTGTTAAGCTAGCCATGAACATGAGCACCCATCCACAGCTTCAATGACATTCACAGATATATTATTTGAATACCAGTATAATGAATGACATTGCTGCACTAAAAAAAAAAACCACACGTTAGGGCTGTCTAGACTCTCTCCAGTTCCTTGACCAGCAATGCATTACGAGTTCATAAGGTGACCTCCAATACTTAATGAAGCTTCCAAATGAGTTTAACTTCTATTTCTTTAAGCAACTTATATACTAAGAAAACCCTGTAAGACAACTTTCAAGAATAAAAAATAAAGCCACATTTTTCATTAAACATAATTCGTGATAATTAGGCCAAGGTTACATGTACTATTCATATAGTTCTCACCGTTTCCCTGACTATATTAGGTATATAGAAATAGGTCAAGTATCCAGCGATTTCCTAAAAAGAGATCTGGGTTGGAAAAGACGAATGAGAACAAATCTAGCTCTCCCATATATGCACACAAATACAAATCTAACACTGACAGTGACTTAACTTCTCTGTGGTATTTATAAAAACTGTATGCCTCAGAGATATTACATACAGTTTGATCCACCTGAAAGGTTGTTTTTAGGGCATATTATTTTATAAGTATTATAGATCTTAAATTTTACTCAGAGTATATTAAGAAAATGAACAAATCTCAGTTTTTTTCTCAAAATAAGGTCACTGGTGGTTTGGTAATGAAATTACTGAAAATATTATTTAAAACTATAGATGCTAAATGTATTATCTTGGTTTCTTGTGAAATTTTAGAGTAGGATGTGTGTCCTAGATATTAAAATGTAGCTAAATTTAGCATGCAGTTCACTGCTTAAGTATCTGTTCAGTACTTTGGCACAAGATACAAAAGTGTCAGTTATACACAAGAGTAAATATCTCTTTAAATAGTACAGAATAACCTGAAAAGAGTTGAAAGCCCATGTCTTTCTCTTGCTTTCCAAATATCAAAAACTCCACAAGTTTTAATGGTTGGACCAAAATGCTAATGATTAAAGGAATGTCATTAAGATTTTGAAATGAACTGACTCATATTTTTCACAATAATTTTATGATTTCCTTCAAGTTAAATGAAGGATAACATAAAATATGTGAGATACATGTTATTATGATAATATTTGATAGTGACATTACTAACATATTTTAGATATGGTATTCATAAGAAATAATCACAGTGCAACAGAAATAGTAAAAAACATGAAAACTCCTAATTTTATAAACAATGCCAAAAGAAAACATGTGAATGGATTCATAAAATCATCATCTTTTTTCTCTCGGTAATTATCATGACACATGCATTGTCAATATTCCATCACAATAAATTTGAGTTTATATAAAAATAACACTGAACTTTAGTAAAATCCATGGACTCATTCATGAAACTCTTGAGTATCTTCGAATCTCTGGGAATTGTATCAATGCTAGCTCAAAGAGCATGACCTGGTTCTGGCACTCTTGAGTTTCTACATTCTTTAATATCTGTCAAGTTTACAATCAATTTGAAAATACGCCTATACTTTATTAAAATATTAGAGAAAAATGTTGACTGTAATTTAAACAGTCTTTTGGGGGGTTCAGAATAATAGTACTGTGGATAAAACTCTTACCTTAAACAAAACCTACCATAATCTATTCCTACACCACTTATGGTCCACCAAGCCTACCAGTAGTTATTGCTGTTTATTGGTGGGTGTGGCCCAAAATTCTTATCATAACAACAATAATAATAACAGATGACCTTTTTTTATATACACAAAAAATGTTAATCAAGAGGCCAGAGAAATAGCACAGCTTTAAAAGTGCTTGCCTCTATGTGGCCTATCCCAGTTTAATCCCTGGTAACACATATGGTCTTCTGAGCACTTATAGGAGTGAGCCCCTGATTACAGAGCCAGAAGTCCTTAATAACACCAGGTATGGCATCTAAACCAGAAAGAAATGAATAAAAAGAAACTACCCTTTACTGATTACATAATTAATCTATTCTATTCTTGAAAACAGAAACTTTATAAATAAATAAAGAGAAGGGCAAATGATTATACAACCACAGTAATTCATACAGTGACAGTAATTAGGAAAATGGGATCACTCAATAAACAGCAACCTGATTGACTTTCTATCAATTTTTTTCTTATGACTAGCTTAAACAATCAGCGCCTCTGTAAACCCCATTAAAGTAAGCAGTATTCCATGCAGATATTTAAAATCCATGCAGATATCAAGTGACTTTACTTTGATCCATTTCTTAATATTACCTGTGTTTTTGAAGCATTTTTATAATAATAATATCAGAAATAACTAAGCAAAGCTAAAGTTTCTAGGCCATCCCAAGAAAACACAAAGTGCAATGTATTCCTATTCATTTTCTTAGTCATCTCAACTTTGCAAAGACTGTCCCTCATTTGAAGCACTTAAAAGTAAACAGAAAAATTACAAAGAGAAAAAATAATGAAATTTGATGGGTTATAGATCCCAGAAATCTACAGTTAAATCATATAAAGTACTGTACAGGAAAAATTTTGAGACAGAATATGAAAAAATATGTATCAATATTTTTTAAAATAACTATTTAATATTAAATACATACCATTGATCCACTGAAATTCAGGATCATGAAGCAAAAAATCTTTCTTGAAGAGGTCTTCTAATGATAGTTTGGTTTCTGATGAATTTGTGAGTTCATCTAAAATAAATTAAAAACTAGGTCAGGAACTGAACACTATTTTTCAAAACTAATAAACTGTAAATTTGACTCACATTTTGCTTCCAAAATTGTTTTACTGATTGAAGCATTTTTGAATATAGAATTTATCTGTTTTGCTAACTTTTTCAATAGGTAACTTAATTTTCATTTTAAAATTACATTTATCACTAAAATTAAAATATTCGTTGGTATATTTATATAAAGAAATGCAAAGCATTTAAGTATGCTGGCAGTATATGGGTTCTAAAACACTTTATTTTATTTTTATTAGTGAATCGCTGTGAGGTTCAGTTACATACTTAGAAACTTCTGTGTTTGTGTTTAAATCATTCAGTGATGAGTACCCATCCCTCCACCAGCACACACTCTCCGCCACCAATGATCCCAGGATCCCTACTAACACTCCTCTATCCTCCCCCCCATATCCCCCCGCCCCCCCCCACCTCTGTGACAGGGCATTCCCTTTTGTTTTCTCTCTCCTTTTGGGTTGTTGTGGTTTGCAACAGAAGTATTGAGTAGTCATCGTGTTCGGTCTATAGTCTACTTTCAGCATGCATATCCCATCATAAGTGGGTCCTCCAAACACCTTTTATTGGTGTTCCCTTCTCTATCTGAGCTGCCTTTTCCCCAGCATGTGAGGCTGGCTTCCAAGCCATGGGGCAAACCTCCTGGTCCTTATCTCTACTATTCTTGGGTGTTAGTCTCCTATTCTGTTACTTTATATTCCACAGATGAGTGAAATCTTTCTATGTCTGTCCCTCTTTCAGACTCATTTAACTTAACATGATACTTTCCATGTTAACCCACTTATATGCTAATTTTATGACTTTATCTTTTCAAACAGATGCATAGTATTCCATTGTGTAGATGTACCAAAGAGTACATAGAAAATACAGATAACAATCATATCTGTAAAAAGTAGTCTCACACATTATATAAATTTTATCATTGGCCTGACAATCTGACTTAGCAAATTTTAAAATTTATGTGTTAAACAAATATCAGGCATTTTCATTTTCAAAGGGTTAAGAGGTGTGTGATTCATATTCACAAGGCAAGAAAAATATGATAGACAGAAAAATAAGATTATGAAATACTATTTGAGCTTGGAGTAAGGGAGGGAGTAATCCTTAGACTAAAAGGAGATGATGAAATTGTCTTAATACCCTTCTGTGTACAAACATTTTTGAAGTCAGGTGACAATATTTTACAAAATTAAATATACATTATCATATGATAAATAACTTCACTTTTTACTATTTTCCAAAATTAACTGAAAATGTGTGTGCGCAAAAATATCTGCACACAGACATTTATAAAAATAAGTTCACAACTTCCAAAACTCAGAAGTGACCAACCTGTACTTCAGCAAGTGAACAAAGAGTGGAACATTCAGAAAATGGGATATTGTACAGATTATTACTTATTTTTTATTAGTTTTAAAAGACTTTTTTATTAAATAACTATGAGATAGATCTTACAAAGCTGTTCATGAATAGGTTTCAATCACATGGTGTTACAACACCCATTCCTCCACTGATGTACATTTCCCAGCACCACTGTCCCAAGTTTCCCTCCCATAACCACCCCCAAACCCCCACCAACACACACACACACACACACACACACACACACACACACACACACACACACAAACAATGTCTCTATGGCAGGGCAGGCTCTCTCTCTCTCTTTCAAAGGAAGTATAATCATTCAAGTGTGGAAAGGAATTAAAAATATCAAATCCAGGGCTGGAGAGATAGCACAGCGGGTAGGATGTTTGCCTTGCACACGGCCGACCTGGGTTTGATTCCCAGCATCCCATATGGTCCCCTGAGCACTGCCAGGAGTAACTACTGAGTGCAGAGCCAGGAGTAACCCCTGTGCATCGCCAGGTGTAACCCAAAAAGCAAAAACAACAACAACAACAACAAAAGAAATCCATATGTTTGGGAATCTCAAGATAAGATTCATATGTGAGGGTCCAGAGAGGTAGTAGAGCAGGTAAGGCATGCCCCTTATACGAAGCTAACTTGGGTTTAATCCCAAGTACTACATAAAGTCCATGAGCCCCCCCATGAATGATCCCTGAGTACAGAACCAGGAGTAAGCCATTAGCAATGATGTCTGTGGCTTACAAACAAAAGCTAAAAGATTCAAATGTAAATCTTGCATTTATATAACTGTATAAAAGAAGCAAATTTATAAAATAGTTTTAATATAACTGAAACATTCTGAAAAGAGAAAGCTATGAAGATAATAAAAAGATATTGGTCTCCATAGATTTGGGGCAGAGAAGGGTAAGTAGGAAGAGCACACAGGACTTTAAAACAACAATATTTTCTGTGGTACTATGATAGTAAATATATGTCACTAGAAATTCACCTAAATTCATAGATTGTAAAACATAGTGAAACCTAATATAAAGTAGGAATGCTAGGTGATAAGGTATCATTTAGAGATTCATATAATATAACGTGTGGGGAATGAAAATGAGGGAAATTGTACCTATTTGAGGGTTAGATTTGTATACTAATTTCTGTATATGTTTTTCAAATTGACTGCACTGTACCACTGTCCTCCCATTGTTCATTGATTTGCTTGACTACGTGCCTAAAATTTCTCTAGAATAAAATGTTATAAAACAGCACTAAAAGCTTAAATTATCTGGACTTGGGCTGGAGCGATAGCACAGCGGTAGGGCATTTGCCTTACAAGCGGCCAACATGGCCAACCCGAGTTCGATTCCTCCGCCCCTCTCGGAGAGCCCGGCAAGCTACCGAGAGTATCTCGCCCGCATGGCAGAGCCTGGCAAGCTCCCCGTGATGTATTCGATATGCCAGACACAGTAACAACAAAGTCTCCAATGGAGACGTTACTGGGCCCGCTCGAGCAAATCGATGAACAACGGGAGGGCCTTTACCTTACCTTTACCTTTACCTTTACCTTATCTGGACTTAAAAATTTTACATGTGGTTTTTAGAATAACTGTTTGAGGGAACTAAATATTTGAAAGTGGGTGGTGCCCTGATCAACCTTGGCCCAACAGTATACAAAAGTTCTATGGAAAGAAAGAGGAGCACGGAGGGGGGGATTAGAAGCAATAAGTAAGGACCAGCTCAGGGAGTTCGGTACAAGGTGTTGTTAAGGAACAATACAGCCAAATGTCCAAACCAGTCAGCAACACTGAAAGTAAGAGACACAAACTGTGACCAAACTTAGAATGATGCCTTTGAAGAAGACAGGATGAGGGCGTTTGTGTATGTGTGTGTGAGTGTGTGTGTGTGTGTGGGGGGGGGGGGGGTTTGGGGGACTAGGAGGGAATTTAGGAATAATGAGAGGCAATCTGACACTGATAGTGGGATTGGTGTTGCAATATTGTTTGTCTACACAACTATGAATAATTTTGTAACTAACAGTGCTACAATAAAAAAAAAAAACTTGGGAAAAGAAGACAGTGAAAAGGAATGGCAGAAGTGCAAATTTATTATATAAAAGAGGAAGTAATTACTGTTGATAACACCGAATAAATCTTCATTCTAGATTTTTTTTCATCATAGGACTTTGAGATTCTATTCATGTGATCTATTTTAATAGGTTCAGATTCAAGCTTTCAATTTCTCAAGGTTTTATGAGTATCATCTTATTGTCTACAATAAACCCCATGCGAATGTAAGATTACTGTATTTTACCATCTCTCTGAGATACATATTTATTTGACCTAATAAAATATAAAATTAAATTGGGAAATAGGATTCTATCTTCATTTCAATAAGACTGCAGACAATTATGGTAACAATGTACAAGCATTTCTCTTCTAAAAGTTAAAAATCATGAATATTACATATGCATCCAACATATGTACAAAATTAGGAAATCCAAAGCATATCAAGGTAAACAATAACACAGATACCGGTGCAATAATAGTATGAAATTTAATATCTCATTCCATTAAGGATAGATCAACTAAGCAGAGAATAAATAAATAAAAAACTTGAATAACTAAGACAGATGGGATTAATAAATATTTATAGGACATTTGACCCTAAATGTCTGAATTAACATTATTCAAGTGTATACAGAAAAATTTCTGAAATTGATATGCTGAGATACAAGACAAATTTCAATATATATGAATATTGAAATCATACTGCCTTGCACGCAGCCGACCTGAGTTCAATTCCCAGCATCCCATATGGTCCCCCGAGCATTGCCAGGAGTAATTTCTGAGTGAAGAGCCAGGAGTGACTGAATATGGTCTCCCTGAACATCGCCAGGTGTGACTAAAAAAGCAAAAAAAAAAATATACCCAGAGACAAAATGAAAATTTATCTTGTGTAAAAGTAATATTTAAAAAAATGAAGATAATAGAGATATAACTTAAGATGACATTTTAAAAACTAAAAATCTGAAAGATTGAACAATTGGTAAGAAAGACAAAATAAAAAGATACAAAACTTAAAAATCATAATGAAAATGAATAAGAGCAACATAAATTGATTAAACTAATATAGTTTTATTCAGAAGGGCAAATTAATGAATATCATTAGTAAGGCTTAAAAGTTAAATATAACACACTAATAAATAGAAGTAAGAATGGAGAAACAGCAGTTTGATTAGAGACTGCTATGAACATCTATCTGCTAACAAATATAAAAGTCAAGAAGAAATAGATACATTTTACATAAACAATATGAACTGACCCACAACAATTATAAAAATTAAAACATTTATTAAAAATCACCCCAAATATAAAAGACACCAATGACTTTATTAGAGAATTTTTCACATCCTTAAAAAATATAGGAATACTATCCTCAAACACAACCAAAATATGGTCTTTCTGTAGAATGAATATTTCTATATACATTTGATGAGGTCAGCCCATGCTCATATTCAAACCGGACAATGGCATCACAAGAAATTTTAATTATAAAAAAGAAATTTTAACTATAAGTATATTATAAATATAAATGGAG